GGAGTACACAGTTTGATGATTATACATCGGGCAATCATCGCAATCACATTACTAATCACGTTACATATGTATATCGGGTATCACAATATGGGAAGCAAGAGTTCGATGTACAAACACCAACAAAGCAAAGTGTAGAGATAAACTTACTTCCGCCATGTACGTCTAAACATCGATGGAAACATAAGAATAACTCAGAGTTGAGGAAACAGTACAGTGTGTAATTTAAAGAATTACATCTGTATAATCAGCACTGATTTTACAGAAATGTGAATCTTTTCTTCCAGCAAACTAAGGTTCTAAACTATCATGCGTGTTCTTCTTAAATGGCATCCAAATCAAGTATCATTAAGCAGAGAAAGTGCGCCGTGAGAAAAAAGAACCATATAGTGTACTGAGAAGTTTAACACTTACTCGGCTCTTGATCCATTCGGCAAGATCATTTGCTTCTCTGAGAAGTTGGTATCCTTTGCAGGCTTCCTCGAGCTTTCTAAATATACCTTGTTATCACAATCGAAAACCTTCACAGTATTACCACCTTTATAGAGGTAAATGGCCCAACAGCAGGGAAACTACGGACAACTCGAATCCAATCCCTTTAATCGCGTCGATTTTCTGTTCTTCTCTGCGCTATCTCCCGTGTGTAGCCGCTCTATGACCGATGTGATATCACAGATTGCAACTTTTCACGTATAATGAGTGGCTCACCCATCCCGGAGTCTCTTCGCCAACCTTTTTTCCACCTTTCGTCTTCTGACAGCCGCTGACTTCTTCTGCCTGCATCACACGATTTCGTGACAGGACCGTGTACAAAGGTTCAAGTGGCTATTCAGGTCTGCCTCAATTCACGAATTATTCCAAATAGAGTGTCAACTATCAACTTGAGCAATTTCTCCTCACTCTGCAGTGGTGGACTGGGCTTCTGTGGGCGACGAACTAGAAGAAACGTTAGGTCTTCGATGAAGGAACCCTAGAGAAACCTCGCTAGCACAAGAAAACATCAACATCAACGAAAATGCCGAGGTCTCACAGAGTCCCGCGAAAAGTTGAATACCATTTTGAATGTCACTATAGCAAGTTTTCCAGCTCGGCCCGTGAAAAGTAGGGTGACTACTACATGTTTTTGCATGATCCGTTGCGAAATAATGTAGCGCAGGCGGTTATAAAAACACCAAACGGTGCGAAAAAAACATGTGATGAGCCAGCAAATCGGTTATTCAAAGGGAAGGGGACTCTAGGGTAATCCACCATGCTAACTGGACGACAAAAAGAACAGACAAGCGCAAAAATTGACGCTTTTAAAGGGACTGAACTCAGGTAGCTCATAGATAACCGGACGGTCTATCAAAAGATAAGCCGAGTGGACAATATTGTACCTTTTGCGTGTTTCTCCAAGCATCATCAGACGTTGGTATTTGTCCTCAATCTCATTCTGCTTTCCACCAATCGAGTTGACCTCAAGTGTGGAAGATATTATGTCTCACTTCCACAGTTGTATTTCACAGTTGCATAACTTGGAAACTTACTTGCTGTTGGCTGTGCTGATGAGCAGTGCCTGGCTCAATACGTTTCACATAGGCAGCTGGTACAAAGCCTTGGCGATCATTTACTTCGACCTGCAGCAAACAACTCTTACGAGGAAGGTCGTTCAGGGCGTGCCCCGCTTTTTCAAAATGGTTTTTGCATTTTGTAGGGGCTTGAACATAGACCACAGAAGTGGGGTTCATTTTCGCTGAGCGGCCCCAGGAACGCCAAAAAAGGAGCGAAAAGTACGTCTATGTACCCCCATATGAGAGACGTTAAGCGCTATACTGGCGCCAAATTGCGTCGACGTCGAAAATAAGTGTCAAAATCGTAATCAGGACCATCGATTACCCTTATGGACGAACTTCCAGCCAAAAAAATTTTTCGATTTTTTCGGGTTGTGGTAGACCATTTGGTCGGCAGTGGTGACCGGAGTCTCACATCTTCGTAAAAATGATGACGTGACGATGACGTAGCAGAACGCGGGGCAGGACAGCTGTGTCGCAAGGGTGCCCCAAGGTCCTGTCATGCTTGGCACAAGTGTGGCTGGTCGCGGCATTCGTGGAAAAGCATCCTGGGCCTTTGCCGATCCCTAGCGCCTGTTCGCTCAATGAAGAAGTCATTCTCCACTACGGGAACAGAAATTGCACACATTCAAATTCAACTTTTTTTGAAGTCGACCTGGAAAAATACTCCTCTTTCCTTCCTCTCTGCACAAGTTTCATCGATATTGTTGGGTTATGTTCTGATATCAATAAAATAGTGGGTCCCTATGGCGAGGCACTGCAGATATCTATAGAAAGACTGCACAACCCAACGCACAAACCCAAAAAGTCGAAAAAAAATTTGGCCGAAACGTCTACAGGGGTAATCGATGGCCCCGATCACGATTTTGACACTTATTTTCGGCGCCGACGTAATTTGGCGCCTGGGTAGCGCTACACGTCCCTTATATGTGTGTACCTAACGCATTCATTGGAAGAAACATGTGGCTCCATATTAGCGATAAATGGCACCATAGCTATAAGTGAGTTCCATATTCGTGATTCGGGCATGGTCTGACCTATAAAGATCAACTTTCAATTACGGTCTTGCTTAATGGTATGTAAAACCTGTAATAATTGAATAGCACTGATTCATGGAGTGTTCCCATTTAAAATGTGCCCATAAATGGCAGTTATCGAACGCATACTCACGCACAGACATATTTGAACGCGAAAACAGCAAACAAAAAATGCAAAAACTCGCACGCCGAGGGGAGTCGAACCATCAACCCCACCCTCACTGTCCGCTTGAGAATCCTCCACGCTATCCACTAGGCCATCCGATCGTTGTTGCTGAACACTGCTCCGATCGTTGAAGAAACCATTCCATGAAGCCGTTCACTCTTGATTACGTGCCACAAGTAAGACCCCATACCCCGACTACTTTTCTCTTCGATTCCGATAGTACCTTTATAGGGTCCCTCCATTCAGCAACTGGTCAAAGTTTCAAGCGGTTTACAGCTCGTAGAGGCTCAAAAACAATCAGTTTCCATAGGTTTCTTTTTCGCTCCTTTTTTGGCATTCCAGGGGCCGCTCAGCCAAAACGAAGCCCACTTTTATGGTTCATGGGCAAGGCCCTACAAAGTGCAAAAACCATTTCGAAAAAGCGGGGCACGCCCTGAACGACCTCCCTTGTTAGTAAAGAGAGCCTTCAGATCGCGAAAAATCCCAGATAGTCTCTACATTTAGCTCTGTACGCCGACAACATAGCAGACTTCCTTGATTATTTATAACACCCACTTTCCACCAGTCCTTGTTCGAGGCGTTCAGCAGAGTGAGAACATCGCCCTTCTTCATAGACACCTCACGAGGAGACTTTTCCTGATAGTCGTACAACGCAAGGACACAATCACGGCCTGAATAATTCAAAGATAACTGGTGTCCAAGAAAAAATAAAAAAACAACCAAATTTTTTATTTTTAAAAAAAAAAAAAAAAAAATTTTTTTTTTTTTTTTTTTCTTTTTTTTTTTTTTTTTTTTTTTTTTTTTTTTTTTTTTTTTTTTTTTTTTTTTTTTTTTTTTTTTTTTTTTTTTTTTTTTTTTTTTTTTTTTTTTTTTTTTTTTTTTTTTTTTAAAAAAAAAACATGCCCGAAGACATTGCAAAAACTAGCACATACCAAGCTGTCCAACTGGTTGCTCCTGGTATTTACATTGGGCGGCCTGCTTTCTCAAATCATCGATGGTTCCTTTGAAGGCATCCAAATCCGACATCAGTGCACGATGCTTCTTGAGAAGAGCCTCAGCTGAATCTTCGTCTTTTCCATAATCAGTGGAGCCGACGACAGGTTCTTTCTCGTTCATCCACGATTCGGCTTCGTTTGCATCAGCCAAATATTGATGAGCCTAAAACAAACTGATTTATTAGATCCAGACCTGACGAAAGTAACAGAAAATTTTACCTGCAGCGAGTCATCGAGCTCCAGACGTCGCTTGTCAGCCTTCGTCTTCAAGATTCTCCAGTTATCCACGAGAGTGTGCGCGGAGGTTTGTCTCGGATCTCGGGAGCAAGGAAATGTCCCTGGAAATCAGTAATACTTCTTTTTATCATATGAGACGGGATTATAGCTGCTAGTGCTGTGCAATATATTATGGGTGAAGTATCTTAAAATGAATTTTTCGAATTTTCATTTTAATGGGCCTAGTTTGTTGCTCCTTTTTTTGTATTTAGGTTTGTCCGGAAAGTTCTTTTAGCGTTTTGTGCACTAATCTTTGTACATTCACTGCTGATTAAAAACTCATTCTGCCTTGCTTCTCAGTAGCACATCCTGTAGAGAATTTCTTGCGCTATCTGATGGTATAATTGCCGTTTCACCATTGCTTGATAAACCCTCTTTTTTCAAGATTTTTTCAAGCATGTGAAAAGAGCACTTCGGACGATTTTTTTTCGGCTATAAATTGGGGCAATCCGCAATCGAAACAGCTCAACAAATTAACCAGGTGTGGAGGCCCAAATATTATTTTGGTTGTGTTTGCTAGAGAAAGCACTGTGCGGCAATGGCTCAATAAATTTCGTTCTGGAGATTTCAGCCTTGAAGGTGAGCCTCATAGCGGTCGACCTAAAGCAATATCTGACGAGGATTTTAGGGGGATTTTGAAGGTTGACCCATCCCAAACAGTTCGAGAGATAGCAGAAGAGCTAGGCCTTGGCAAATCCACTGTTGCAGATGGTCTGGAACGCATTGGGAAGGTGAAAAAACTCGACAATTGGTGCCCCACAATCGGAGTGACCGGCAGGGAATCGGCACGTCTCGAGGTTCCTCTTCAGCTGCTTTTGCGCAGAATGATTGCCCGTTTTTGAACGGATTTGTCCTGTGATGAAAATGGATCATGTATGATAACAGGAGACGTTCCGGACAGTGGTTGGATTTGGAGGAACCACCGAGGTAATTTTCAAAGCCGAACCCTCGCGAAAAAAAATTTCTGGTCAGGTTTGGTGGTCATCGGCTGTTGTAATCCACTATAACTTTTCATCACCAGGCCAAACCATCACAGCAGAACCCTACTGTGAACAAACCGACCAAATGTACCGAAAATATTGTCAGCTGCAGCCAACACTTATCAAAAGAAAGGGTCCGATTCTTTTGCATGACAACGCCCGCCCACACGTTTCACAAATCACTATCCATAAATTGAACGAATTGGGAGTTGAAGTTCTACCTCACCCACCATATTCTCTAGACCTTTCACCAACCGACTGTCACCTTTTCAGACATTTTCAGAACTTTCCTGCTGAGAAATACTTCATCAAACAGGACCAGGCAAAAAGACCTTCGGATTTCGTGGATTCTCGACCACCCAGTTTTTTCTTTGATGGGATTTCTCGACTGCTGCCACATTGGCAAAAGCTGATTCGAATGGTGCTTATTTGGATTAAATCCGATGAGTGTTAAGAAAGTTATGATCGTTTAAAGTTAAACACCCAAAACGCTAAGAACTTTCCGGACAACCTAATATTTAGATATTTTTAAGGCTTAGAAAATGAACAAGGGGGCGACGAGTAGCATTATTTCTAAAGGGTTTGTTGATTTTTTTCGCACTCATAACTTTGTACAGTTTGTTGAACAGCCAACAAGAGGCTCCTCCTGGCTAGATTTGATTCTTTGTAACGATGCTCGATCAGTTAAAAATGTAGAAGTGATCCCACTATTGGTAACAGTGACCATGCCTCAATTGATTTCAGTCTGAACCTCAGTTCAAGTAGAGCTGCCTCAGAGAGATGGGTGAGAGATTTCAATGAGGCAATATTGAAAGACATATGAGCAATATTGACTGGATTGGTTCACTCGCAACAGCGGAGTCCGTAGAAGAGAAGAATTATTACTTTCAATTCTTCATTACACTATGGACAAGTTTGCTCTCCTGCGAAAGATCAGAAGTTCAAGGTACAAACTTCCTCGGTACCTTGAAAGAATGATAAGTCAGCGCAGGAAAATTTGGTCTCTGCCATAGCTGAGGGTAGTGACCGCATGTGGAGTAAATATAAGATTTTGGACAGCAGACTCAATAGGCGGTTGCTTAGATATAATGCCTATTTGGAAAAGAAGGATTGTCGAATCAGGGGATTCTACAAAGTTATTCACGTACATTAATAAGCGTCTTATTGAATCCAAGAAGATTCCTGCCTTGCGTACCGGTCAGTCGAATGTCGTCACACTTGATGGAGAAAAGGCGGAGGTGCTAGCAGAACAATTTCAAAGAATTTCCGCAGAGGAAAACGATGACGACAAGTTCTCTCATGAGCTGCGACAAGTTCTCTCATGAGCTTCCCCCTGTGGGTCTACTATGGGTCCAGATCTATGGTTTCACAGAGATGAGATCTTTGACTTGCTTTCAAAATGGCCTAACTCCCATTCGGTAACACCTGACTTTATACCTCTTCATCTCATTAAAGGATTGCGCATTGTCTTGCTTTCCTTTGGAACTACTCTTTAATTTGTCATATATGAGATCGGAAGTCCCATCAAGGTGGAGACACTCTTTCATTGTTCCAGTTCCGAAGAAGCCTCCCTTTAGCAATCCTTCCAACTATCGGCCCATAAGTGTCATTTCAGTTTTTGCACTGCTCTTTGCAAAGAAAGTCGAAGCTAAGGTGACTACTTTCCTTACTTCTCTCAATAAATGAACTAGAGCAGGACCAGCGCACTTGATGGCAGAAACCTGTACACGTGGTATATTTTGACTTTGCAGAAGCGTTTGATCGGGTGCCTCATCGGAAACTCACTGCAAAGTTAGAATCGCTCGGGATTTATCCTCAATCGTACGCTGGATTGAATCGTTCCTTTGCAATCGTACATACCAAGTGCGAATTGGGCATAGTTTTTCATCGAAGTATTTGATCACCAGCGGCGTCCCTCAGGGTGGAGTCTTATCGCCCTTACTTCGATTGCTTATACGGCCTGCCTCCCTACCTCCTTGTCAGATTTGGGGTCAAATGCTTGATGTATGCCGATGATATCAAACTGTACAAAGTTATTGAAATGTGCGTCCGACTGCGAGGACCTGCAGAGAGCTATTGATCATATTGTACGTTGGAGAAGTGGGGATTACCCCTGGCTCCTGATAAAACCAAAGTTTTTAGTACCGGAAATGAACGTTTCAGTCATAACTACAAAAATCTGTAACTTTAGAGTCAGTTCAAGAGATAAAGGACCTTGGTTTTATCTTCTCCAACAAACTTGGGTTTAAAACACATTATAAGTCACTGGTTTCCAAGGCTAACAACAGAATTTATACTCTCTTCAAAGCACTGAATTCGAAAAATCCCAAGATATTGCTGCAGGCCTATAAATCCTATGTTAGACCTGTAGTGGAACATGGTACTTCAGTATTCTCGCCATATAAAAAAAGGATATTAAGCTCTTGGAAAGTGTGCAGAATAGCTTTACTCGTAAACTTGCCCTCCGATGTTCGGAATGAGCTATGACACTCTACCAAGCGCAGCGGAAAGACGGCGTCCTTTACGGTTTACCCAGTCTCCTTAATAGAAGATCGATCAATGACCTCATGATGGCTTTCAAGACATCAACAGGCAGGGTACAGCATCGTTGTGCGAAACCCATAGGGGGTCGTACTTGGCCGCTGGGGAGGGGGGGGGTCGTAATCTCAAGGGTCACTCAGAGCCGGGCAATGCTTCGACATTTCAGTTGATAGTGGGAGTGGAGCTATGGAAGTCAAGATGGAAAAAAATGAAAACTATTATGAGCGTTTTCTTTACAGATTCAACTGCTACGTTTAACAGCCCCTTTTCATGCGGAATCCCCAAAAAAGGGTCCGTACTTGGCCGCGGGGGACGTGGGGAGTCCTGCTATAAGAGTAGGCTAGCTTGGTGCAAAACAGTACTAAAAGCTGTCATTGCTTAAGTTTTGATGGAACGGACGGAAAGCTGCAGAAGAGCCGGATGTTAATAACACTACAAAATAATAGAAAAATTTTTGGCAATATAGCAAAAATAGCAAGAATAAATAAATATCAGTTAATAGTATGAACTGTAAGTGGTAGATGACTAAGTAATACGTCTCAAACAGATTCGTGTGTATTGTCCTTTCCAAACCCTGAAGAAACATCTGCTTGCATGGATATAAGCACCTGA